CTGCCATGTGTCTACCTATGCAACAGTCTTGCATGTTCTTCATATGTACCCCAAAACCTAAAATGCAATAAAAAAAAATTTGAAGAGGAAAGACTTTGAAACTCATTTTATGAGGCCAATATCACTCTGATACCAAAGCCAGTAAATGTACCACAAGGAAATATCTATAGGCCAATGTTCCCAATGAACATAGGTGTAGAATCCCTCAATAAAATATTAGAAAGTCAAATTCAATAACATATTAAAAGGGTTATACATTGTGACCAAATGATATTTGTCCCTGGGATGCAGGATGCATCAACATAGAAAAGTAAATCAATGTGATAAACCACAGCAATCGATGATATAATATACAACAGTATATATATCAAATGATATACATAAATTGAATGATGATAATATACATTTATCATCTTTATAGAAGCAGAAAAAGGATTTGACAAAATTCTGCATTTATTTATGGTAACAACTGTCAAGAAAATAGATGTAGGAACTTAAAGACAATGAAGGCCATATCTGAAAAGTCCATAGCCAACATCATAATCAATGGGGGAAATTGAAAGCTTTTCCTCTAAGATCTGGTATAAGACAAGAATGCCCACTCTTTACCATTTCCATATAGCATGGTATTGGAATGTTATCACAATCAGACACACACAAAAAAGGCAACCAAATTGGAAAGGAAGAAATAAAACAGTATCTGTGTGCATATTGCATGATTACAAATGTAGAAAATTCCAAAGACAAAATTCGACAACAAAAAAAGTTAGAACTAATAAATGAGTTTGGTAGGGTTGCAGGATATGAAAATTAATGGTGTTTCTTTGCACAGGCAACCAGTTATCTAAAAAGGAATTTTAGAAAACAATCTCATGATTTCAGTGTCAAAAAGAATAAAATACTCAAGAATAAACTTAACCAAAGAGGCAAAAATATTTATATAATGAAAATCATAATATAGTTAATGAAGGGAATTAAGACACAGGTGGAAAGAGCTTTGTGTTCTTTGGTTGGAAGAATTAATACTGTTAAAATGTCTGTTCTACCCAAGTGATGTACAAATATAGTGCAATTCCTATCAAAATCCAATGGCATTTTTTTAGTGAAGTAGTTATTCATATGGAACTACAAAAAATGTTAATAGCCAAAGTAATCTTTTTTTTTCTTCTGAGATGGAGTCTTGCTCTGTTGCCTAGGCTGGAGTGCAATGGCATGATCTCAGCTCACTGCAACATCCATCTCCCAGGTTCTAGTGATTCTTCTGCCACAGCCTTCTGAGTAGCTGGGATTACAGGTGCACACCACCACACCAAGCTAATTTTTGTATGTTTAGTACAAACAGGTTTCACCATGTTGGCCAGGAGGCCAGAGTGATCCACCTGCCTCAGCCTACCAAAGTGCTGGTGTAACAGGTGTGAACCACCATGCCCAGAATAATCTTGAGCAAGAAAAATAAAGCTGGATGCATCACACATCCCAATTTCAAAATACATGACAAAGTTACAGAAATCAAAACACTATGACAATGATACAAAAACAGACATGTGGACCAATAGAAGAGAATAGAGAGCCCAGAAATAACACATTTATGGTTAGCTGATCCTCAACAAAGATGCCAAAGAGACACAGCGGGGTGTAGATAGTGTTTTCAATAAATGCTGCTGAGAAAATTGGATATCCACATGCAAATGAATGAAATTAGACCTTGATCTCACACCATAAAGAAAAATCAATTTGAATTGGATTAAAGACTTAATATGTAAGGCCTGAAACTGTAAAACTCAGTGGAAAAACTTCTTGACATTGGTCTGGACGGTGATTTTTTGAAAGTGACACCAAAAGCACAGGCAACCAAAGCAAAGTGGATAAGTGGGAGTGCATCAAATTAAAAAGCATCTGCCCAGCAAAAAACAGTCAACAAAATGAAAAAGCAACATACCAAATGGGAGAACATATTTGCAAACCGTGTATTTGACAAGTAGGTAATATCCAAAATATATAAGGAATGCAGTAGCAAAAAAACAACCCAATTAAAAGATGGGCTAGGGACCTAAATAGACATTTCTCCTAAGAAGGACTACAAATGGCCAACCCGTGTATGATCAGGTACCCAACATCACTAATCATCAGGTAAATGCCAGTCATACCCCAATGAGATAGCACCTTGCACTTGTTAGAATAGCTGTTATTAAAAGACAAAAGATAGCAAATGTTGGCAAGTCTGTGGAGAAAAGGAACCCTTGTGCACTATTCGTGGGGATGCAAATTGGTACAGCCATTATGGAAAACAGTACTGAAGTTTCTCCTCAAAAAATTAAAGCTACTGTATGATCCAGCAGTTCCCCTTCCAAGTGTATATATTCAAAAGAAAATTGCTATCTTGATGAGTTATATGTTCTTCCATGTTCATTGGAGCATTATTCATAGTAGCAAAGTTATGGAAACAATTTAAATGTTTATTGATGAATGGATAAAACAGAAGTGTGTGTGTGTGTGTGTGTGTGTGTGTGTGAATACTACTCAGTCTTAAAAGAAAATGGAAATTCTGCCTTTTGCAACAACATGAGTGAATCTGGAGGACATTTTGCTAATTGGAATAAACAAGACACAGAAAGACAAATGCTGCATTATCTCACTTATATGTGAAATCTAAAATAGCCGAGCTTATAGAGAAGCACAGAGTAGATTGGTGGTTGTCAGGGTTGGGAAGTGGGTGAAATGGGAGATTTTGGTGAGTGGTACAAAGTATCAGTTATGCAGGATAGATAAATTTTGAAGACCCAGTGTACAGCATAATGACTATTTTATATGTTACAAATTTGGTAAAAAGGTAGATCTTGTGTGCTCACCACTCCTCCAAAAAAAGGTAACTGAGAGGTGCTGGATATGCTAAAAGAAAAACAAAATGTTATGTATATTTCAGTGTTAATAAATATTTATTAAAACAGCCACACTAATTTGTGTATTGTCTATGGCTGCTTTCACATTGCAACAGCAGAGCTGAAGAGTTGCAACTCAGACTGCATATGTATACATACTGTTTGGCTCTTTACAGAAAAAGTTGCTGACTCCTGGTATAGGTGATACTTATATCATTTTCAGCTTTGGGAGGACAGTGTGATGGAAAAGGTTTCAAACTTGTTTTGAATCTACTTTTTGATTTTTTGTCTATTTTTTAAAAATTCTGTAAAAATTCTGCATGCTATCATTTTAGATGCCGATCCTGTCCCAGTCTAGTGCTCATCTTTCCTTTTGGGGCTCCAATTATGTGTATGTTATACCTTTTCACTGTAATCCTTAAGTCTCTAGTGGAAAAGTCACCTAAAATTTCACATCACTTCTAAGTTTACTTCGCTATTTTGTTCTCAAATACCTTCAAGCACTTTTTAAAAACAAACAAAAAACTTATCTAGCTTTTCTAATTGTTCTTCGTTAGAGGTTTGGTCCAAATCGCATAATTCACTATTAATGAAAACAAGGTCTATTTCAAAAAACTTAATCAACTATTCTCTCCATAATATGAATTACTTTTGCATTTATAGCTAAAATATTGCTTATCTTGAAGAGTCAGATTACTTGTGTTTCTTATTTTTAAAATATCGCCAAATAGTTTCTGTTGACAGCTGCTTAGGCCAGAAGAAATACAGCAAATCTGAAACATTTGTTATTTTTAAAAGGAGAATATTTAACTCTAAATTTGACAGCTCTTAAGGACTTTGCCAAGGTAGCCACAATACTGCATGGAATATCTTCATGGTTGATATCTTTTGTTATAAATCATTGATAATAAAGATTCTCCTTTTTAATTTAAGCTGCAAATTCACATTCATGGGCACACATAAACTGTAATCATTACAGTACTGTAAAAGCAAATGAACAAATGGGAAACAGTCAAACTCTGATGTAAAGAACTTCCACCCTTCCATTCTACAACTGTGTATTTTGACAGACCTAATGAGGGTGCCATTGTCAAACTATTCATTAAATATCTTTGAAGCTCATTTCCTTCTTTCCTCTCATAAACTGGAAACTGAAGTTCTAAAACCTAAGTTCTTAAATCCCAGGGCACTAGCTCAAGTGGGCATTATGTAGGTTTCCAGTCCCTGTCATTCTTAATAATCCCTTATAGAGATTATTCTATACAGGAGTATAATCTTTTAAAAATAAAAAGATCATTTCTCTTCCTTCCTTAAAAAAACTGTAAGTCTTCATATTGCATTTAGAATAAAACTTGTCATTCTTATCCTGATATTTTATTTGATTAATATATATAATCAGAATATAATATATATTAATCCTTAAGAGCAAGGACTTTGTTTTTTCCCAGTATGTAGTCAATATCTGGAGCGGTACCTCACAAGGAGGTGACATGATTAAATGTTTCATGAATAAACGTTATATGAATAAAGGGGAATTAAATTACTAGAGTTTCATACTTGTGGAACTAAAAGAATAAAACTCTGTTAAAGGGTAAACTCTGATTTGCCTTTTTAGGTTGCTCTGCACAAAATTGTCAGTATAATTTTGCGAATGTTTTTATTGGAAGCCCCCTAAGGCTTCTTACCTGTCATCACTGTAAACTGCAACATTATTGGTGTGTTAATGTTTTTACTTATCCCTCCTGTATGTCTTTGCTGTGACTAATAAGAACATATATAGTGATGACATTATAAAAATGTGACTGCAAAGGAGTTGGCTTTGACATGTTGGTCATTGTTTGCCTTCATCGCATTGACAGTCATTACACAAGCATTAATCAGGATGATTGATCTCAACTTGGCTGCCTCAGTGATAATAGGTCCTAAAAAAAGGCACCTATTCCTGATGTCTCATAGTTTGTCTCTCTGTTTTCAACTGCTGCTTCCATAGTTGACATTGAGTACTTATTTTCAGGGTAACCTTTGGTAGTATATTCTTGCTTCAATCATAAACACTTGGCAAAAGATTTTTGAAAACAAATGCTACTTTGTTTCCAAAATTTGAGATGTTAACTTTTTCAGGAAGCTCATAAAATGGTGAGAGAAGCAAATATCAAGCAGGCAACAGCAGAAAAACAGCTGAAAGAAGCACAAGGAAAAGTAAGTTTTTGCTGCTCTTAATAGTATAAAATAATTAGTGATAATTATTTTAAAGATAACATCTGTTGGCTTTTGTTCTGATCGTAAAGTAGTGCTTGTTTTCAATTTGGAAACTGCAGAATAATAGAAGAAAATAGCTGATATGTAGATATAATTAATAGTGAACATTTGGTGTCCATTTATATGATAACCAAATGTTTAAAGCCTTGTAAATCACATGAATTATCCAAAGGATTATAGAATCACATTTTAAAGTTAATACTTAAGTTTTAAAATTCACTGAGAAAAGCCACCTAAATATTACTCGATTTTACTATTTTAGGAGTGAACTTCTACAACTAATCATAAGCTATTATATTTTAAAATTTTTGAAAATTCACATAAATGTTAGATATCTTGATGAGTTTCACAAATTCATTTGACATCGTGAATTAATAGATGAATCCAAGCCATATGGAAACATAAAAAAACTTGTTTTTACTTTCTCTTTATTACTCCACAGGAAACAGAAATTACTTTTCATCTCTGAAAGTGTTTTGACCAGATTGCTAATATTTAGCTGCATCTTTTATAAAACATATTTAGTGTATGTGACTATGTTGATTTTTTTTCAAGATTGATGTACTTCAGGCTGAAGTAGCTGCATTGAAGACACTTGTATTGTCCAGTTCTCCAACCTCACCTACGCAGGAGCCTCTGCCAGGTGGAAAGACACCTTTTAAAAAGGGGCATACAAGAAATAAAAGCACAAGCAGTGCTATGAGTGGCAGTCATCAGGACCTCAGTGTGATACAGCCAATTGTAAAAGACTGCAAAGAGGTAACTCGTCAAGGACTGTCCCCTCTGACTCTGTTGATACTTGTTAATTCTCATCACTGAGGTGTCAGTTATCATTTTGGCCAGCAAAATTTTTAGTACAAAATATGCAGTATTAAGATGGGGGAGGCTTTATCTAGAGCTGGCTGCTTTCAGGGATTCTTCAGTTCCATTCTCTACCTGACTGACCTTGGAGTACCTGCTGGAAACTTGGTAAGTTTCTTAATCTCAATATTTCATTAAGGGAGGAAACTGTTACATGTTGTCTAGAGGATAGTGGGTGGCTTTAGTGATCTGACTAGTCAAAATTTATTGCTAGAGTGCTCTTACAAAATATGAACATAAGAAATATGTGAAAATAAGATGATTTTCTTAAAGATCAGTGCATTTTTATTTAAATTTAGAGAGAAGAAGGAATTTTATATCAGTAAGGGAGTCCTAGAGTTAACTCAAATAATTAAGCAACAAAAAATAGAAATAATGGTAGCCTTACAACTCTGTAATGCTGAGGACATTTTGCTAAGTGAAATTTCAAGTTAGAGTAGAACCATTAGTGTTATTTCTGATCCCAAATTAGGTTTCGTAGTTCAACCAGTCTCAGTTATTCAGACACTTACAACTATGTAAGGCTACTGTTCTTATATATCCATAGTAACTAAAAATTTTAAAAAGAAATAATGGTAGTCTTATTATTTTAAAAGATGTGTTATAAAGATAACTGAAATATAAATATTTAGAGCTCTTTAGAGTAAAAATTTTTTTAAATTATTGCATACTATGAGAATGCATTTCTAAGAGGATTGATCAATAATTTATGAAGCTCTCCCATTTCTTCTTAGAAGCCATCTTTTACATTGTTGTTTCAAGTCCATCATTAATCTTGAAGAAATGTGTGTGCTTGTTAAATTTTTGTATGGAAACCAGGAGTTTATTAAATGGAATAACCAATGTTGTTAACCTGTTTTAATTGAATTGCATTTTGACTAATTTTTAATAAAAAAGATGCTGATAAGAGAGAAGTTCAGTACTTGGTTAGATCTGAATGTAACCAAATCCAAAATTTACATTGTTTTCTGTGAAATATTTAAGAAACTTTTTTTGTCCTGACTTTAATTTAAATTCTTTGGAATTTAGATAGCCTTATTAATTGCCTGGTCCAACTTGTATTTTTGCTGTTTCTCACTCAGTAAGTATAAGTAATTATGTACTTCACCCCATTTACACGAAAAAAATTTGAGTGTCTTCTCATGGAAAATTGTAAAGATTCATTTTTAATTTTTTGAAATCTTTTAAAATGTGTGTAGGCAGCATATAACTTCAAAATAATAATCTTTGCTTTCCAGGTATGAGTTATATTCTGATGTTTCATAAAAAGCTTGTCAAAAAGTCTTACTAGACAAAGGAATTACATAAATTTGACCTGTGTAAGTCTTATAAAAATATGTAACAATCTGGAAGAAAATGATGCATGTCTATGTTTTTGTAGAAAATATGGTGGAGTACTCAGTCAGACAAAAGCAACAGTTTGTCTTCTGTAACATTTAAAATATACATGCACGCTTGCAGACATAGATGCCAAGTGCGAGGCTTTGGGATTAAGCCACTTAGATTTGAATTTGGACTTTACTGCTTTCTTGCTATGCAATCTTGGGCAAGTTACAAATAGGGATCATAATATCTGCCTTGCACAGTTGTGAGGATTAAATGTTTGTAAAGTGCTTACAGTAGTTCCTGGCACAAGTCAGCTCTTAAAAAGTGGTTTAAATTACTGCCTTTGAACTAGAATCTTTCCTTAGAGTACCATTTACCTGCTTTGGGGTTTATGTCCATTTTCTCAGTAACTTTAGAAAGAAAATGCATTTGAAAATGTAAGTATTGCTTGTATGCTAATATTATTTATTTTTTTGCTTTTAGCTTTGATTCAAGGAATTTATTAATTGGGCTGAAAAAAAAATTCTTATGGAAATTGCCCTTATGCACCCTAAAAGGAAGTCTGTAGGAAAGCTTGGTTACCCTCAGCTCTTGGTTACATTCTTGTAGACTACTTGCACATCTGATTAAGCTATACTAAAGGCAGGCTATAGCTGTAGTGAGTGCATCATTTATGGTATGTCCAGTGCTTCTGGACTAGAGTGGCTTAGAGCTGTAGGATGAAGGAGACTGCTTTAGTTTGGGTGGCTGATGTCAGTGGAACTTTGTATTCCAGCAGATGGTATTGAGCTGGACTTAGGGAATCTGAGAATCTGTAAGGAAGAATACTTGGGGAAAATTTATTACAGAGGTGAGAAAGAGAGGGACAGCTGGAAGAGTAAATAGGAAGGCAGGTGCCAGCAGTGGATTATTACTGATGCCTAAGATGGTAGTTGCTGGATGCCCAAAATATGTCAAAAATATCTAAATAAATGTTATATTTTAAGGTAGTCAGTTTAGGAGGCTTTATGTGTTTTTTTTTAATCCTTCTGCAATAAATGTTTTGACAATTCTTTTGGGGATGCCTTCAAATGATAGTAGAACAATTAGTGTCATTTTTGATCCCAAACTAGGTTTCACAGTTCAGCCAGTCTCAGTTTATTCAGACACTTCAATTAATTAGGTTCCAGATTACTTTTTTATTATTTTTAGAAAAGACTTGTCATCATTTATTATAATCTGAATAGAGTGCCACTTGTGTCTTAAGAGGAACTCCAGCTTTTTTTGTGGGGATGGGAGAAGGGGCTCAGGGTGAGGGTAATGTTAGCATTATTGAACGTGGTAGTGGATGATAATAGAAAAAGGCAAATTGGCTATTTGGGAGTCATTTTTTAAAAGGAAAACTGCTACGAGGTATTATAACTAATCAAGAGTGGTTCAATTTATTATTTTAAATGAAGAGCATTTTTTAGTAATGTTTAAATTAGTTTTGATTTTGTAAAGTGGTTATGTTTGTACTTTTTAAAAAGTGTTTTTGTGTTTTCCTTTGGTTTGTTTGATAGGCTGACTTATCCTTGTATAATGAGTTCCGATTGTGGAAGGATGAGCCCACAATGGACAGGACATGTCCTTTTTTAGACAAAATCTACCAGGAAGATATCTTTCCATGTTTAACATTCTCAAAAAGCGAGGTAACTTTTTCATATTAGGAATACATTATAGTTGTTTCTATCTTTTTAAAACTAAATCGTGATATATATTTTAATATCTCTTACATAAATAAGTTATTATAAAATGTCATGTTTTACTATTTTTGCCATTCCATATTAGAATTATGATAATTTCTTGGCATTCAGTTACTGAACATCCTTATATAAGCAGAGACTCATTCACGCTAACATGTACTGCGTTGGAGTCAGGTATTAACTAGATATGGGGGATAGGGCTTATTTCTTGATTTGCAATCTAAGGTTCAGTGTAAGGGAAGTTCTCTGCACACCCAGTTAAAGGCATCTGTTGTGTCTATCTGTACATGATTCAAAATCTTATTTTTTTAACTTTAAAACAGGAAAAGTAATGTCTTTGCCCATGCCACAGGATTGTTAAAAGGATAAAATGAAGTAGATTAAGTAGATACAAAAAACTTAGAAAAATAAGGCAGTATAAAAATTTAAAGCTGTAATTTTAATTTGTTCTTACATGTGAAAGGTTTGTTTACAAATATCCTGTCAATTAAAGTATAAGAAATTTAATCCTAAGAGTCTTATGTTAAGCATTTCAAGGATTTAATTGTAATATTACTTATCAGAAGTTAAGATGAAAATTTTTCACACTTTTGATATGAATATGTGTTGTTCATTGTGGCTCTGTATCTGGTTTCAGGTAGGCCATTCAGTAATAGTAACCTTGACAGACTACAGAAGTTTGCCTGTTTCAAATCTAGTATAATTCCTGCCATCTTCATCTGGGCATTTAATGTTGGATAATTCAGCTAATTCTTTTGTAGACTCACTCTTGTGCACGTAAATACAAATTCAGAAAATATATAGCTAATTAATATATATTAGTGTGTTATAAATGATCAGTGTTTAAAAATACTGTATACATTTAGCAGAATAAAGCTTTAGGATATTAATTTTGAAGTGGTATTAACAGTAGATATTAATTGTGGGTAAAAAATGAACAGAAGCTGGAATTAATACCTTTAATCCTTGTCCAGATAATGAGGATAGTTATTTACCATAAGTGAATTGCCTTTCATAACAGTGTTTGGATTAGAAAATAAACCAAAATTGTGTGATTTTTTTCTTTTTCATTTGCTAAAGCAAAGCTAGTGGAACTTGGGAGAATAATTTATAAAATTAGTTTACTGTAGAATACAATTTTTATATTTTTCTGCCAGTGTAACATCTAATATATATTTTTTTAAGTTGGCTTCTGCTGTTCTGGAGGCTGTGGAAAACAATACTCTAAGCATTGAACCAGTGGGATTACAACCTATCCGGTTTGTGAAAGCTTCTGCAGTTGAATGTGGAGGACCAAAGTAGGTTTTTCCATGCATAACTTGTGAAAGTGACTGAGTTTTTGAAATGTTTTGGGTTGCAGTTATTTAGTTTTTCTGCTTTTAAATGTAGTTATATTTCCCTCAGATTTCTCTTTAGAGTCTGTGTAGCCCAAAGACGAATCCATGAGACACTGTGGAATATAGTATTTCAGATTTAGCATCAAAGGAGAGCGGTTTTAATTATGGATTGGTGCAAAAGTAATCGTGGTTTTTGCCATTGAAAGTAATGGCACCAAGCATGATTACTTTGGCACCAACTCAATGCAATAATATATATATATGATAGGACTAGAGATAGAAACCTGAGTGGTGGGGTGTGTGTGTGTGTGTGTGTGTGTGTGTGTGTGTGTATCTCATATTGTGACCTATCAGTGCATTGTGAAATCAGTTTAGTGGGTCATAAGCAGAATTTTTGTTTATTACACACATATATATAGCCATGTGTCCTGGGTTTCTGTATAAAATACTTCTCTCTGAAGGTGACCATCAAAAATAGTTTGGGAAGATACTGAGTTAAGACTAAATCATATCAATCATGAACGCAATGTACCAAAAAGACTTGCTGAGTTCTCTTCTTTCATATTATGTTTATAAAGGATTCTCACTTTAATAAACAATCAGTTTTATCTTTCATATGTGAATCTTACTTGAGAATTATAAACCTTCAGAGATAAGACTCCCACATTTCATAAGAGGACAGACTTTTTTCCCATCCAGTCCTATGAGGAGGAATAACTGAAAACAACAGTGCTTAACGCATCTGGCAAAGGTGAAAGGTTTTGCCTAAAACAGCATAATTGTGTCTTGCCTTTTATTTAGAAAATGACTTTGAAAGCTTTTGAGAAAGATGCTTATTAAATGCTAAAAGCCAGATCAATATAGGGAACTGGAAAGCCTGAGAGTGCTCATAGAAAGCATAACTGACTGCTGTCAGGGTTATTTTGAAGCGCGAAGAGGAAAAGACTGGTTGAGATGAACCAATGAAGTCTGTGTTAAAGCTGTTCTGGGGATTATGTATGCCTTTCTGTTCCTGTTAATGCTCGTTACATTCTCCACAAGATTACAGAATGTTGTTATTGAGGGGACGATTTGTTGGAGGGTTCCTAGTCATATATTTGATTTGCTCTGTAAGCCACATGTCCACCTCACTCCCCTAGTGCCACACCTGTACCACAGTAGCCTCTGAATTTTAGGGAAAGTATTTACATTCTTAAATTCTACAAACACAAGAGTATTTTTTTCTGATCCTTCCACCTCAAATATGGAGAATTAAATTTAATCATAGCAGTTTTTGTACTTTTAAAGTCTAAATTATGCCTCATTTTAAATATAGCATATGACAGTTTTTATTGTAGAGTTTAAAATTTGTGCTTGCATTATATATCACACATATACATGTGCACATATCATAAATGATAACAAATGGGGATATCAAACTAAAATGGATTTATAGTATCTTTAGTAAAATAATTATTAGTTTAGATTTAGAGAACAGTTTACAAAATTTAAGGATACTGTGCTTGTGGGAATCGGGCCAGAAATCAAGGCATTTGTGATGCATATCATTTGGAAAAAACTGAAGGAAGATAGTGTCTTCTTTAATGAAATGTGAAGTATGGCTCTGGCCGTAGCTCTTGTGAGCTGGAATGTGAAGATATTGACTAAATCAGTGGCACAACACTGAGGGCTTTGAAGAAGACAAGATCATTTCAGCTATGATTAGGTACTCTTCTTGAAGGGAGAGATTTTTGAAGCATAAGGGGAATTTGGATAAAGAGCAGTATATACAACTGAAGGCCTAGAAACAAGAAATCAAAGTGTGTTCAGAGGATGGTGAGCGTATGGAGAGGAAAGAGAAGATGTGAGAGATTTTAAGAAAGAAATGTTAGATTGGGGTGGGGGATGGGTAAAGGAGAAAGGAGTTAGAGATGTCTGACTGGAAGACTGATTTGAAGTGATTGTGGAAATTAACAGGAAAGACTTTGGTTTGTGGAAGGAGATTACAGGTCTAGATGTAGACATGTTGACATTTTCACATGAAAATGGCCAAACAAGGATTTGAAATCTTGGGTCTAGAGTTAAAGAGATATATTAATGTAGTGTATGTAGCATATTTGGAAAGAAAAATTGGAGTTGGAGGTCAGAGGTCTATTAGCATTGAATCTGTGGTTAACTACAAATATAGTAGTGTGTCCAGTTTACAAAATGGCTTAGAAATGAGATCTTTTAAGAAACACTATACACCATAGAATGCTATGCAACCATAAAAAAGAATGAGATCATGTCCTTTGCAGAGACATGGCTGGAGCTGGAGGCCATTATCCTTAGCAAACTAATGTAGGAACAGAGAACCAAATGCTACCTGTTCTCACTTACAAGTGGGAGCTAAATGATGAGAACACATGGACACATAGAAGGGAACTACACACACTGCAGCCTATGGAAGGGTGGAGGATGGGAAGAGGGAGAGGAACAGGTAGAATAATGGATACTAGGCTTAATACCTGGGTGATGAAATAATGTATATCACAACACCTATATAGCATATGTTTACCTATGTAATAAACCTGCACATCATGCACATGTACTCCTGAACTTAGAAGTTAAAAAAAAAACACTTATTGTTTTAAAAGTTGATACTTAAAGCCACCTTACCAGATCCATTTCAAAATTAAACTAAATAGTAGACCAGCAGGCATATATCTGTTTCCAGAAGAATAGTATATAAATTGATTTTTAGCAGCTTGATGGCACATTTTCCTCTTGTGTAGATTAGACTTTGGAAGTTCCACAGATTTCCAACACTTTGTGCTTTAAATTTCTAGATCTTCATCCTCCTCAAGCTAGTAGTTAGTGCTTTTAAATACTGTTACAGATCATTAAAGGAATTGCTAATAAAGAAACAATAAAGAAATAGCTTTTTGAAGAAAGATAGGAATTGGTTTGTGATTTTAATTGCCACCTCAAAAATTATCCTATTTACACATTGTTGTGTGTTTTCTTAATATAGAGGCACATTTGTATTATATTTAAGTATCACGAAAACATTGTTATTTAATGTATTTACTATATGATTTGTTCTGTCACATAAAATGCTACTGGCTACTCACTTTACTTAGAGCTATGCTAATTTTGCATTGATGGGGAGTGATAGTTGTATTAAGCCAGGTTTCTAGCTTAGGAGGGTGACAACTAGGTTGCTACAAGTCCAGCCTGATAGACATGCCAGCTTTACCTCACAGAGCCATAGAGTAACAGATGGGTCAGTCATTGAATGTGTGCTGTGTTCTTGGCACATGCTTGGTGCCAGGCATTTAAAGATGAATCAAAGCCCCTGCCCTCAAGAGGCTGATAGCCTAATCCCAGCCAGGAAGCCCTCATATAAAATTTTAGCTTTTTGTCATATGCAAATAGAAAGAGTGGTGTGAAATTTCTTGAACTTGTTATACGATGGTTAAGATTCAGTATTTTTGTAAGGTGGATTATTCCTTTGTACTTCTCCCTAGGTCCCACATTAAATGCATAATAGCAACCAACCAACCAAATAAACAAATACCCCATCTGGAAACTATTACCCTGCAAGCTGTCAACATGCTTTGAGACTTGAACAGACATCATGAGGATATTTTCAACTGAGAAGTTGAAATCCTGATGGAAAGCTGAGAGCTGTCCTGCAGCTGATTACTCATTTGTAAATTTGTTCCAAGATGGGACATATATGGAAAACACCTAGTTTCTGTTTCTAGAATTGTGGTTAAAGTTATGGCATTAAACTTATACTATTAATAGAATGTAAGTCTCACAAGGGCAGAGACTTTGTCCTTTTCATCACTGTAGCCCAGCATCTAGAACTGTGTTTGGTACATAGCAGGTTCTTAAATATTTGTTATCTAACTGAATGAGTAGGCAACTTGTACAGAAGGTAGGGGCAAATGCTTTTAATTTAAAAAAACTGATATTTATCATTATTTTACAGAAAATGTGCTCTTACTGGCCAGAGTAAGTCCTGTAAACACAGAATTAAATTAGGGGACTCAAGCAACTATTATTATATTTCTCCTTTTTGCAGATACAGGGTAAGTGACTTAACCATGAATTTTAATAAAGCTTGCTTTGACATGATACATTTGACCATTCATGACATTTTTTCCATTTGGCCTAGATCACTTCTGTATGTAACTTTTTTACATACATTCGATACATTCAGCAGGGACTCGTTAAGCAGCAGGATGGTGAGTGTTCTTGATTAATTAAAATCTTTACATAAAAGTTCAGCAAAAGTATAGGAAGTAGTAGTAATGCATGTATCAACTTTATTGTTGGTGCATTTACATTGAATTCCTTCTATAGTTCTAATAAAATTTGTGGAGAATTTGGGAACAAATGTCTTTAAACAAATATTTTAGTTTTATTTGCCTCATTTTACTCTTAATTTTGAATTTTAAGCAGGATTAGTTTTAACTCATCAGGGGTATGTGATAAACCAGATGGTAAATGTGAAGAGTTCCACGCTCACTGAATCGACTCTTTAAGAGATGAAAATGAGCAAGCCCACAGAGTGGTCTGATTTATTTTAATTGACGGAAACCAAGATGGAGCTAACAATTAAGTTTTCCCTGTATATTCTGCTTTCACGTATGAATTAATAAAGCAGTCATGAGGATAATTCTTAATGGCATAAAGATTATCATATTCTAAATCAGCAGAAATGTACAGGTGATATATCCAGGAGAACCAACCTCATGCAAGTGTGTTAATATTTTGTAATACAGTTTTATATGGTTTTATAACTATAAATATCAGACATAAAAACTAATAAGACCTGACAGCTCCAAAGGAGTATCTCTCGAGTACAAATGATTGTATAAAAATAAAAATAGCAGATAGTGGGCTAGGGACAAGTCTATGCCAGTTTGCATTTAAAGTTTTGCGAAATTTCCTTCTTTATATTTTTTAGGCACTGAAAATATTATCTTGCTTAAACACTAGTTGAAGCCTACCGTCTTTCAATCATGTAAACCAGTGAATCTTAAATCTCTGGAGAAATTAGTCATGCTGGTAAAAACTTAGTTTAGCCTTTCTCAAGTTCTGGTATGCTGAAAAATGTTATATTTCTTTAGAATCTTAGATAGTTAGATTTTGATGCCTAAAACAATAGGGATAAAACATGTTAACCTAGTAACCTAATTAATGTTGAATTTCGAAAGGCTTGGTAACATAAAAGCAGTCTTTAAATGGTATAATACTTTTTTTGACGTTAATAAAACTGAAATCTTTTTGAATACCTGTTGGGGGATAATATCATTTAAGCTAGAGAACAGAAAATTTATGTTAAGTATAGTTGTCAAGAATATTTTTGTTTGTTTAAATAAGAAGTTTGTAGGAAAGATGAAAGATTATTTACTTTATGAAAATAGGAAGAAAGTGTTACGAGTAATGAATGGTGAGGGTGATGATAATAAAAGTAGTATCTTGTTTCTGTCACTCTTCCACTTCATGATATTTAGTACATATCATTTACTATGTGTGTTTATTATAAACAAGTATTAAGCAAGTCTTGTTTACTTGTAAACAAGTCTTAAAATCTGTTGACTATATGTGCCTTGTGCCAACAAAAGATTTAGGGCAGCTAAATCTTAAGCTGAGTTTCTCAACGTTGGCACTAGTGATATTTTGAGCTGGATAATTCTGTGTTGTGGGGACTGTCTTGTGCATTTGTAGGATGTTTAATAGCATCCCTAGCTTTTACTCATTAGATACCTCTAGCACCCCCCAGATGGGACAGTGAAAAGTGTTATCTATACATTGCCAAATGGACTTCGGGTGGCCAGGGGGTGAGTAGTGGTGGCAGTGGTAGTACTGGAATCTTCGATGATTGAGAACCATTAATCTAAATGAATATAATCTGATCATGTAAAGAGAGACTTTTTATTGTCTGAAATAAGGAACCAATGTTTTTCCACTTAGAGTGGGAACTTAAAAAAGTACAGGTAATTGAATTTACAGTTCATCTTCCACATGCATTTTTATTTCTAATTTGAGCCTTATCCAAAGCCTTTTTATGACTCACAAACAATGCTACTGAGTTTTCTGGATTGTCTTGTTTGCTTTTGTTCCTCTTCACCCTCTGTTAGTATTAATGAAGAGTAAAATGACCACAACATAGCAAAGTAGAGCAAGAAGAATCATAAGTTAGAGAATAACTCAAATAATTGAGCATTTAATATACTAATTTAAGGTAACAGCATTGACATTTACTCAGGACACTGAAATGGCTACCTTTTCTTGAGCTAAAATGATAGTCTTTGATGTATTTAACAAATAATTGTGACAAAACTGGTGACTTTTGCTTTATTTATTGATAAAACTGGGATGGTCACAAGTCTGTGGAAAAGTTTATGTGAATTATTGAAAAAAATGTAGGTACATCTTTAGGAAATCCACAATTGACATTTCAGCTAACAAGTTTTCAGCAAAACATTAAACATAATGAAGATGGTATTTTATGATTTAAATATCTCTCTTTTCTGTTTGTACAGTCGATCAGATGTTTTGGGAAGTTATGCAGTTGAGAAAAGAGATGTCATTGGCAAAGCTGGGTTATTTCAAAGAGGAACTCTGATGCTCTGCGTGGGACCATGCATGAACTCCTTAAATAACTGAAAAATGGCTGAATATTTTTATGGTTACTTCATATTTATTTCCAGAGAGTGGGCCTAAGACTTTTTCCCCTTTTGCAAATTCCTCTAAGAAATACAATGATTTCTTTTAAACTGACCTATGCTGTGTCTGCTTATTCCTTAGTTGAACACACTATGAAGAATTACAGGTGTACTAGTGAATGTAATTTATAGTTGCAAAAACAAAAAAAAAAAACAAATAAATAAATGTTAGATTGAATGTTTGTATGTTTTCTCTTCTAGCTCTGACATGGCATTTAGGGTTAGCAGAATGTATTAAATAGTAATTTTCAAACTACACAGCAGTTTCCCTCCTTGTGAGAGGCAAGGAAGAAGGCTGAGTGAACATTACTCACTTTCCAAGGCCCCCATCTCTAGAATGGCTTTATTTTTGTCTGTTTTATATATTGGGCTTCAAAAAAGAATTTATTTGAAGAAATACTTCTGCTGCTACAAAGTTTGAAAGTTACTGTTCTAATTATTCTGCTCTCTGTAATTGAAAGAATCCCTTTATTTTGGTGATTCATTAAAATATAATAGAAGGCAGTCAAATTTTGTCCCAGAGATGTGTTCCTGAGCGTCTTGATGTGTAGTGTATTCCTGTTTTATATATTTTGACCATTATAATGATATTGGAGGAGCATAGATGTAAATGAGTTTGATGTGTGTCAAAAGGGTTTGGAGGGATGTGGATTGAAAGAATGGTACATGCAAAGTATACACTGATCATAGAACCACTTGATCTCTGTGTTCCAAATTGTAAAACTGACTCAACTGGAGAAATTATAGCAAAGGGGTTTGTGGTAGAAATATAGTAAGTACAAAAAAGCAAAAAGAAAAAGTGAAAAATCACTTCAATCTCTGTTTAGAGAAAGCTGTTATTAATATTTTTGGAGAGTACCCTTTCAGCTTTCAGGTATTTTCTACTTACATATGCATATTTTTGAAACAAAATGGAGGCTTTTTTGCTTTTTAAATCTAAGCATTAAATACTTTTTTCCTGTGGGCAAACCTATACATCCTAATTTCTGTTGATAGAATTTTAACATAATTTAATTGTGTTTGGAGATGAGGTGGTTTCAGTTTATTTTTATATGATGATGCTGTGATGAGTAGCCTTATCTGTACACTTGGACATTGTTGAGTTCTTTCATGTAGATGCCTGGAGATAAAATTGTTGAGTCAAGATATATATGTATTTTCAAGTGTTTGATCTGTATTGTTAGATTGCCATTCAGAAAAGTTAACCAATTTGTATTCACAGTAGCAGTGTATGAGAGAGCTGGTTTTCTGAAGTCCTGTTAAGAGATTTGGTCAATCCTACCTGTAGATGACTTCAGCCACCTAGCTGGATGGGAGCCCACAGACAAAAGGACATTGGAGTATGTTATAGTAAAAACCATCATTATCATGCCCAGCTCAAGAATATGAAATTGAGCATGAAAAAAACTTTGAACCTAGAATTTTATGTTCTGAAAATAGTTATTCTAATGTGAGGGCATTAATAAAAACATGTGCCATCAAGGCTTTGGAAGATTTTCCAAACAAACTAAAACCACTTTTGGAGAAAGTACCTAAATAAAAAGAGAAACAAATCCAGGAGATGCTCTGAGAGATTTGAAGGAAAGGTAATCAAATACTCGGGAAAAGTTTGTTGGTGACTTAAAAAGGATAAATAAAAAGACTAAAGAAAATCAGTATACCTATTAATAATAACTCAGTAATTTATAAAGGGAAGAATACTTTCAACCTGATACATTAGAGGCATGCTCTTTAAAATTGAGACAGGATGACGATGTAGAAAATGTATTGGAATTATAGATTTAAATGTAATTGAAATATATTTAGAAAATATAAGTGATTATCTTCCTGATTCTATTCCCTTTAGGGAGAACTTCTTAGACTGGAAGCAGAAAGAAACCATAAAAGATAACCATAAAATAAAATAAGTTATGCTGTATTATAAATTCTTAACTTAGGAATTGTGCATCAATGGTTAGGCATGGTGTCATGCCTGTAATCCCACCAGTTTGGGAGGTGGAGGCAGAAGGATTGCTTGAGCCCAGGAGTTCAAGATGAGCCTGGGCAAAATAGAGAGACTGTCTCCGCAAAAAAAAAAAATCCTGTCCATCAAAACTTGGAAGGCTGAGGTGGGAAGATTGCTTGAGCCCAGGGGTTCAAGTCCAACCTGGGCAACATAGGGAGGCCCCATCTCTAAAAAATAAAAATAAAAAATAAAGCCAAACTACAAACTGAGAGAAGATAGTAACATTTATAGCCGGTAATAGTATCAAGAATGTATAAGAAATTCTACAAACCAACAAAAAAGGACAGTGTCACAGAAATGGGGAAAAGACTGAACCAGTTTTTCCACGCAATTGGAAGTGCATTATGGGACAATAAACATATTAAGAGGTTTTCATCTTAATCAGGAAAATGTAAATGAAGATGACAGTGACATGTTAAAATTCATTTGATTGGTGAAAATGAAGAAACACAACAAAGTCAAGTTTTGGAGAGGGTTTTAGTCAATGGTATCACTCACATATTGCCGATAGGGGTATCAATTGGTATATCCACTGTCAAAAACCATTCACTCGACAAGTTGGGCCAGGCCTGGTGGCTCATGCCTCCTCTTTGGGAGACCGAGGTAGGAGGAACACTTGAGCCCACAAGTTCAAGACCAGCTTGGGCAACATAGGGAGACCTCATCTGTACAAAATATTTTAAAAATTAGCTGGGCATGGTAGCACATGCCTGTGGTCCCGGCTAGTAGGGAAGCTGAGGTGGAAGGATTGCTTAAGCCCAGGAGGTTGAGGCTGCAGTGAATCATGGTTGTGCCACTTTATCTTGAGTGACAGTGAGATCCTGACTCAAAAAAAAATTGTATACCCATGAATTGGCAATTTCACTTTTCAGTATATACGTGAAAAATGCTTGCATAAAGTTCCCCAGAATACACGGAAGAATATTCTAGAATAAATTAAAATGTTTATGTGTCAGAGGGTGTAATATGTTCACAGAATGATTGTTACGTGGCAGCAAGATGAATGAATACCAGCTACATGCAGCACAGTAATTCAGAATGAAAAAGCAATTCTGAGAAAATGATGACATAAAAGTCATGAACAGCTAAAACTGAACAGCTGTTTAGGCATTGACATGTGACAGAACTTAAAAAGTAGTAATAAAGTTCAAGATAGTGGTTACCTCTGGTTGTGAGACAGGTAGAGGAGGAGCAAATCTATAGTAAGTCACTGGTAATGTTTTAGTTGCTGGGTTACCTGGGGGGTTTTGGGGTGGTTCATTTGTCATTAAAAGTAAATACGTGAGCTGGTTGTAGTGCTGCGTGCCTGTAGTCCCAGCTATTTGGGAGTCTGAGGTGGAAAGACCCCTTGAGGCCAGGAGTTCAAGGCTCTAGTGTGCTATGATTTCACCTGTGAATAGCTGCTATATTCCAACCTGGGCAACATAGAGCGTGCCCCCCCCTAAAAAATTTTAAAAACAAAATAAATGCACGAACAAATGAATAAGAATTATGCATGGAATGTCGGTGGTGTATTATGAACCAAGCATTATTAGCCCAATTATATGTGCCTTCATTCCAAAAATGAAAAATTAAAGCTGACAAGATTGTTGATGAATTGTGTTTGAGATAGAAGAAAGGAAAGAATCTTAGGCTTTTGGCTTGAGCTATTGCAGTTTGTTGAGATGGGGAATATATGGTGGGGGAAATTTTGGGTACGTGCAAAACAGAGACAGAATTTCAGTGTTGGACAATACATCAAGTGTGAGGTGCCCACTGAGCATCAAAGTGGAGTTGTTAAGTAGGTATTAGATAAACAAGCGTAAATTTAATAAGGTCAGTCCAGGAGATAATTTTGGGAGTAGTTAGCCATAGGATCAGATGGGAGCTTCAGGGACATTTTGGAGATGAAGTACAGCACTGAGCTCTGAGTTACTATGACAGAGAAGCAGCAGCCTGCAAAGACGAAAGGAGGAACTGTTAGGAAGAGCAAAGCAACAGAAAAGGAAGAACCAGCATGCTTATTATGTTCAGGAGAGTGTTTCTACACAGAATTTAATTGCCAAGATCACCAATTCTAAAGAGGGAGACTCTTGGACAAGTTTTTAGAAATTGGTTTAGAGCTGGGGTGAGAGCCTGGCTTAATGGAGACAGTTCTGGGTTGAGAGTCACTCAGACCTGCATTCTGGTCCAGGTTTGGCTCCTGAAAACAGGGAAGGTTAGGCCTCTCCTTTCTGACCTTCATTAAAGACTGAATCAAGTGTTCTTCATGGTTTCTCTTGGCTTGAAGACAATTCACAGCCTTTGACTAAGGATCTGCACTGGAAGAACAAGATTTGATTTCTGAACATTGGATCTTAATCCTTTAAATAACTTGCAACCTGTTACCTTTGCTTACTCCCATCACCACCACAAGAATCCCATGTGTTTTTGTTCTGTGCATCCAGAGTCTAAAATGGGTCTGCTTTTATTCATAGGCTTTTGTTTTCAAAGATTTTCATTGTTGCATTTTTTCCTAGATAAAATGTTCTTTTTTGTAAAAGTAAGACACTGCTTAAAAGAGTCCAATGCAGTATGAATTTGTATTTGTGTTTAACTTTTGTGCTTACAAATCTGCCATGGCTGAATTCTCAGTTGCTTAAACAAAATTCTGGGCTTATTCTGGGTTCCTTTGTCATTGTCACTCCCAATCCAGTTATCAGCAAATTCTATCAGCTGTCTCTGAAACATCTTAAATCTGTCCACTTCCCTCCATATCCACTGCTACCACTCTGTCCAAGCAATCAATTATCTTTCACCCGAGCTCCTGCGCTAATGTCTGCTATCCTTTCATCTACTCATGCCCTCCTACACTCACTGACATGGCTGCCACAGGAATCTTTTTAAAACAAAAATCATATAACGTCCCTTCCCTGCTTAAAGCCCTTTTAGTGGCTTGCCATTGCACTTAGAAAAAAATCCAAACTCAATAGAAAAGTTTTCATAGTGGTAGTTGTTAACAGAGAAATAATATGAACATTAGCTTTAAAAAACTTCATGAAAATTTGCAAAACTAAAAAACAGTAGAAGAG